TTCTGAGTGTTTTATGTGCTGCAGAACAGGAACCTGCTGTAAAACAGCAATTATGCTGAGTCAGGCTTGATTTTTAATAATCTTTTCCGGTTAAATTAATAAATCAAAATCAAATCAATTCTAACCAGATTCAAATGAGGGTAAAACCAAAACGGATCACTGCCATCCTGAAATATCTCCAATCTAAACTAGTTTTACTTGTGTTCATGCTGTTGCAGTCTTATAAAAGTCCTCAGTTTTCCACCTCTGTCTCATTCCCACAGAATTCTGTGGTTATTTACTGCAGCAGCCCTGCTTCAGCATGGGACACATCCATACATCTGTACTTGTGTGGACCGGGCTTTGGTCCTCACCATGTACATTCAGTCCCCACGAGACTGTAGTTTTCTGGAATTTGGTTCCCACGATGTAGCTAAAACGTGCACACACACACACACACACACACACACACACACACACACACACACACACACACACACAAAGCTGCATCCCTCCTCTCATAAATGATGCGTGTCTTTCTGCAGGTAACTCCATCAGCTGGATGGGAAGTCCCAGTTCTCTGCCCTCAGAGACCACCCAGCCCCCCGCTCCCAGACCCTCTCCTCTYGTTCAGGAGGACGAGCTGCTGAGCAGCAACCACCTTCCTGAACTCAACAATGATGTGAGTAAGATTCAGTTTTGATGGGATCCTCATTCTGAGATCTGGGATGAGTTCTGTGTGYGAACAAGGTTCAGATCGATCCCAGCTGGTCTTAACAGGAAACACAGCTGACTGCTGAACTCTGTTCAAGCTGAAGTTAAACTGTGTTCAAATTAAACAGAAGGTAAAAGCTTGGATAAATGTGGGTGAAAAGTTGTACAGTTTTCTHTTTAATTTAATTTGACAAAAAGTAAAAGACGTTACATTTTGTGAAGTTCTAATTAGTCTTTGTACAGCTGAAGCTGAGCTGGGATAAAAGGCACAAAGACTGAAGAGTGATGAAGACGTCTGAGACCTTTGTCTTCACMCCTGTGGAGCTGTGGTTCTAATACAACCTTAGAAACCCCCAAGACCACGCAAAGACCAGCACAGCTACACAAAAACATTCAGTCACATTTGTGAGCTCTTACAGCATGTAATATGGAATCAGAAACAGGTGAAACTGAAAAAACTAAAACATYAACCGACTTTAGGACAGGCAAACATTTTCCATTGATGTGACTGAAGTAGAAACATCTTGTGTTTGATAAGGGACAATTCAGAGGAATGAGTAGTGATTAAAATAATTATTAGATTAGATTAGATAGACAMTTATTGTCATTGTACAGAGCACAATGAAATMACAGTTCAGAYCAAKCACTCAGAAGAAGACAGAACATAACAAACATYGGAGAACAGGAGCTCTGGGTCATACAGCCACAGACCTGCACAGAGCAGGATCATCTTCATGAAGACATCATGAGGAGGTGCTGCCCTMAACAGAAAAACTAAAAKC